AGGGAAATGGATTCCAAGGCACTACACTTATCAACAAAAGAAGAAGTTCTTCTCGGATGTGAAGCACTACGTCACTGGAGCGTTTGACCCTCAATCTGCCACCGCAGTGTTACAAGACACATGAATGAAAAAGTCAAGCTAACGACTATAACGTAGAACTAAATGCTCTCTTCTTTTAGTTTTTATTTTCATGCAATTGCTTTATTATTCCCTATTGTTTTGTTCATGTTTCTCTCTATTTGCATATGCAGCCGTACACAAGACAACTAGAGAATTCATAGGGCGTTAAAAGTGGAACTTGCAGAGATGTTAATGCTCCAGCATGTCAACAAGATCTCGAAAAAAAATCAAGGCAGTATCTTCTAGGGGTGGCAATTCGTGTCACGTGTCGTGTTTTGATCATTTTTTTTAAAATTTACAGTCAACCCGAGCACGACCCATGACACGAAATTTTTTAAAAACCGCAACACGGACACGGCACGACCACTTTACGAGTTGACATGACACGACCCAAAAATGACCCGTGACACGAAATTGACCCGTGAATCCGAAATTGACACGAAAATTGTGTACTTTTATTTAATTTTTTACATATTAGAAATAACTTAAAATTCATAACACCCCGAAATTGACACGAAAATTGTGTACTTTTATTTAATTTTTTACATATTAGAAATAACTTAAAATTCATAACACACTGAATTCCAATAACATCCATTGAAATTAAGCAAATAATAGTATAAGATTTTGAGTATAACTATCATGATATCACAAGTTCATAATAAAATTTAAAATATGTAATGAAAAATATATGTATTTTTTAGTTTTTTCCGAGTTTCGTGTCATGTTCGGGTTAGGCGGGTCCAACCTGAAATTGACCTGTATTTTTCGTGTCAATTTCAGGTCGACCCAATTCTGACCCGAATCTCTTTTTTCTCCACCCTAACCTGCAAAATTCGTGTCGTTTTCAAGTTGTGTCGTCGTGTCGTGACCCATATTGCCGGCCCTAGTATCTTCTCTACCTTCTTTAGTTTTCATTTGTTACATTGGGGACAATGTCAATCATAAGTGTGGGGGAGGTCTTTCATGTCTTTTGATTTTTTGATTCAATTTGTGAACTAAAATTGCTGAGAAGGTTTTGATTGGAATGATTTGTAATTCTTGGAAATTGGAAAATCATGCCTTTAATCTGTCTGCTTGAATCTAGTGTTTGTTTTGTTGTGCCTGTGATTTGCCTAGGGTAGGTGAATGAATAGTCAGGATCACTTAACTGTGTGCACTTTATGAGAACCTTATACAGATTTAGAAACTTTTGTGATCTCACCGAATGCTAGAACTTGCTTGATTACCTCTTGAGGTGAAATCCTAGACAACACATTGAATTTAGAGATGATTTAGGCCATTTTTTGACCCTTTGAGCCTTTCAAGCCTACCACGATACAGTCTACCACTAGTCACATCATTGAGCCATTACAATAGTAGGAGTTACATCATGAGATGAATATTGAGTTCCTTCTAGCCACTTTGACATTACCCCTATATCCCGAAAAACTAATGGATACCCTTTCAAGAGATTCATGAAAATAACAATAGCATAGAGAAGGGGAAATTTGAGAAAGAAGAAAAAAAAATTTGTGAGACTACTGTCAACGTGAAAAAGAAAAATGAGATGTGAATAATACACCCAAACCTTATGAGAGGCAAGGATAATATAAATCATTAAGTTTGGGGGAGTTAGGAAGAAAGGAATTCGTTCTTCATGAAAAAAAAAACAGAGAAAAAGACCATTCTTGGTGCATTACCTTAATGATTCTCTTGACTTTGCTCAATCCTTATCCTTTTCTTGATAGCCATCACCTGATCCTTATGCTACAAGCTTAGTAAAGACCTTTTAATCTGAGTTTGATATGGTTGTCGACATTAGTGGAAATGGGTAAGAAAAGTAAGCTTATGGAATCCAAGAAATTACTCATCAGAGATCAAACATGGATTCTGGTTTGAATAAGTTGATTAGGATTGCAACGGTTTAAGTGTGAAAGGTTATTTGTTTGAATACTTGAAGGGATCACAGGTAGGGTGAGGCTTACACCAGGTTTGAAATTCTAAACTTTGCATGGTTTGATATTTTTCTGGAATTATGAGAATTATGCAATCTTTGAGGCTTGCTTGGTACATCAAATTGAATCGATTCTTGGGCAGTTGTTTTGACGACAGTTTTAGATTTTGTTTTATTTTGTTTCATCTTTTTGCTTGAGGACTAGCAAAATGTTAAGTTTGGGAGAGTTTGATGAGTTAGTTTTATACCGATTTATTAAGCTCTTGCAAGTTTAATATTAGCTAGTTTTAAGCTATTTTATTAGCAAATTGATATCTTTCTAATCTAATGCTGCAGGAAGAAAGCAAGTTTGATAATCCGCCATAAAAGCCCACAATTGAGAAGCCACAATTAAAAGGCCATTCTCGGTCCATTGAGAAGCCACAATTAAAAGGCCCAAATTTTGGCCCATAGAAGCCCACATTGAGGACATTACTTCCAGCTACGACATTGTGTTTCATTCCTCCTAGCCACACGGTTTTTCTTCCTCTGATTATACATTGGATTTGGGGCTTTCATTTGTAAAGATTGCTTCCTGAGATTACACGCTGGAGTTGGGGGCTGCCTGGGAGATAAGAAGTTGCGACTCAAGTGGGAAAAACCCTATCTAACCAAGAGTTTGAAGATGGAAACCAGAGGAAGATCCAGGCAGAGAGAGAGTGGCTGAGAGAGATAAAGAGATTTAGGGCATAGAGAATTAGGTTTAAAAGGGAAATCTAGGAACGGGAAAGGGGAGTTGTGTTTACTGGGATATTCCAGAGGGTGCTTACTGGGATATTCCAGGGGGGTGTTGTGTTTACTGGAATATTCCAGAGAGTTTTTTGGGAGATATTCCAAAGGGAAAAATGTTGTTACTGGGATTTCCCACAGAAAGAAAGAGGGAAAAAAAGAGATTAACCCAGGGCTTTTGGTGAGGGATTTTTTGGTATGGAATTCCAGAGGGAAACAGGAGATTTTTGGCTGGAATATTCCGGAGGGAAACGGGTTGTTTTTGCTGGGATATTCCAGAGAGAGAAAGAGGGGAAAAAGGATTTGCCCAGGGCTTTTGGAAGAAGATTCGGCCAGGATTTGCCCAGGGCTTTTGGAGGAGGATTCAGCCAGAGTTTTGGAGTTGACCCAGAGGGATTATTGCTGGGAGTGGTTGATTCCAGGTGGAGAAACAATTTGTAAAGTTCGGCCATTGGCATTTACCCTTCTTTCTTCTTTTCTTCTTCCGTGAAGCATATGGTGATGTCTCATGGATTTGTCTTTGTTTTATTTAATTTCATTATGGTTTAATACTTTTAGTTAGAGATTGATGGATCCAAACCTATGATTTCTTAGTTTCAATTTGAATGAGTTGCAATTTATTATTTTTTCGTGAAGAGTGTGTTCTATTGTTCTTAGGGCTTTTCATTGATTTAATTTGGGAATTGATCATAGTGATGTTTCGGATAGAGAAGCTATGTGATAGGAACATTAAATTGTGAATTGCATCTTGGATGTGAATAATATTCAAGCAAAATGTAGAAGATGCCATGAGTGGATGAGGAGTAACCGAATAGGGATTCAAGGAAATTCATTTAGTCAGTTTAAGTTGTAACCGAGAGGGAAATTTAACCGAAAAAGGATTCCACAAATTCTAAGGCATCTCATATTGAATTAATCTAGAATATACTTGAAATAAGGATATTTGAAGGTAAGGATATATGTGATAGTTACTTAGACCTGAAATATGGATAATTAAACATTAGAGAATTCTACCATCTCATGGTTAATAATAATTGAAATTCATTCTTTTGAGCTTATGGATGAATCGGTGTAGGTGAAATCAACTCTCAACCGTTTTCTCTCATTGAATTCTTTCTTAAATCTTGCATCTTTTCATTTATCTAATTTTTAATCTTTATTTAGTTTTAATTCACATTACTCCCAATTTCGTAATCTCGAATAACATAGTCAGTTTAATCACTTTATTTGTGAATTTTACCAATCCTTGTTGGGAAATGATATCTTACTTATCACTTTATTACTTGAACGATGGGTGCACTTGCTAGTGTTAATTTTATCGCATCAAGTTTTTGGTGCTATTGCCAGGGATTGAGTTAAAAATTTACACTTATTGTGATTTAACCCGTTAATTTAAGAACTTTTATTCACTATGGAGTTTGAAAATTCGCTTATAGAGATTCTTAGCTTAGAGCATGTGTGCATTATCCTATCTAGATTGACAATGATGATATTGCACTTGGTTGTTCACACACACACAAGAAAGGTCCAATTGGAGAAGAGGCAATCTTTTGAAGTTAAGTTCAACATTTGGGTGGAAATTGTGTTTTTCTTTAAGCTATGTTCCTAATTTTGTGGGTAACTTTCTCGAGAATTCATTCACAAAACTTGTGCTTCTTTTCTTTTGATTCATTGTTGTTTTTAACTTTCGTTTATGTTTTTGTTGTGTCTTGCTTGAGGACGAGCAATACTTTAAGTTTGGGGATGTAATAACTCTAAGAAACTAAAGTTATCGTATGCATTTTTAGCTTAAAGTTTGCTTAGCTAAGAGTGTATTTCATTATTTCTTTTGTGTTTTGACTTAGATTTTCTGGTTTTGCATTTTATCTTGCTAAATTATGGCTTTCGGATTAAGGAGTTTGAATAAAAAAGAGGTTGAAATATGCCTAAGTAGGGATTTTGCAAATTGCAGGGAGAAAGCAGTAGCATTCTGGGTTCAGTTGGCATGTGGTATGACATCATCGCACTACCTGGAGGAAAATGACAAAAAAACCCATGTGAGCTAATTGAGCTGTACAGTTGTGTGGACCACTTCAACCCTTATCAATTGACACCTCAGCCCTTTTGTTTCCCCAAGAAGGAAGTGCTTTCTGGAAGGGAGAGGCAGCCGCCAAGTAGAAGTGGAGAAAAAATAGAAGGAAATAAGGCAGTACAGTACCGATAGAAAAACCAAGTACCAGAGACGTGAGAAAAGGAAGAAAAATTCAAGAGAGAGAGCTGCAGAAAGGAGGATCCGAAGGGAAGGACAATGAGAAATTCTAGAAGATCCAAGATCCGGCTCCTCAACTCTTATTCTTTCTGTTAGCTTGATTCTTTTGTTATTCTTGTTATTAATTAAGACATTGATTACTTTGGACATCTGGTTTTTGTAATTACCATTATGAACTAAATTGTTAAGCTAGATCTGCTAATGGAACTGAGGTTGTAAGGATGATGGTTGCTTGAGGAATGTTGACTATTTCTATTTCCTATTCATCTATGCATGCTTAATGCTTATTTCTATCTTTGATTGGCCATCAATCATAAAATACATGACTAAAATTAATACTGGAAAGGTTAATTTTAGTTGGATCTAACATAGATGATGCAAGTTCAATAATCTTGTTTGAGTTTATTGATTTGTGAATGGTATAGGAATATATTGTTCATCTTGCATAACATAAAGAAATCCGAGCTTAATTTGCATTCTAGAACTAGATTCACATAGGAATATGCTGTAAATGGTTGAGGAATCTGTAGACATAAAGACTTCGGAAGAATCTTATGCACAATAAATGAGTTTCTATTAACAGGACATTTATGCTATAGCATTCTTGCAGCATTCTCTATCAGATTTGCAACTAAGGAGAAATTAGTAGGTCTAGTTGATTTACTTCACTGTAAACACTCCATTTTAGCATTATTGATCTTCTGGTTAATCCTTTCTTACATTTCATCTTACATTTCTGCATTTAAAACAATTGGGTAATTTCTAAACAGTCAACTTTTTATCATTCTTAACGGGTAAATTAGTTGATTTCTGCATGTACCCTTGGTGATTCATTCTCTATGGGACGATATCCGTACTCTGTACACTTTATTACTTGTCTGCGACACATGCACTTGCGAGCATTAAAAACATGCAACAAGTTTTTGATTTCAATCCCCGGCAACGAAGCCAAAAACTTGTCAGTTATGTTCAATGAGATAAAACTAACTGTTACGGGTTAGTGGAGCCGCTTAGCAATGCTCCTTTAGCTTTGCTAAAGAAGATATAGTTGCACATTCAGAATTGCTCATCCACACAGATTACCTGACTACAACAAAATAGGATCAAAGTAACCTACTATATAGTAGTTTGTATATTGAAGGAAGTATTTCATTGTTTGTTAAACATTAACTACCTAAACTCCTCTCTCTCTCTCTCGTCCATAACTATTTGGCTGGTCCTTTTTATTTTGATTATTAGTTTTTATTTACTTATGCTGGAAAACTTTCAATGACTTCATGGTTATGGTGAGTACAAATCTCAAAATAACTTCAGGCTTTATACTTTCTTGATTTTATTTGCTTGCTGGTGTTTCACATTAACCTTTTACAATAATATATATGTATATATTTATATATATATACACGCATCCGGTTTTTCTTTCTAATATCACGAGCAATACAAATTGTTTTAAGCTTGTGTAGTTGTAAAATTGCTAGAGAAGCTGTACTTGTACATGCAAAATTGCTGCTGCTGCTTGCTTGTTCAGAGGATGAAAGTACTTTTTGGTTTGTTTCTGTTCTCTTTCTTTGCGTTCCATATATCATATGTTTCAGTTGAAGCAAGAGCGGAATTTTCTATTGACATCTTGCAATGCACAAGTCCATTTAAGCAGTTTACGTGATAAGTATTTTGGAGCACAAGCTTATTCCACATTTTACCAGTGAACTACTACCTAGGTTAAGTAAGCAGGGTTCAAAAAGCCTATCTTTTATGTTGGTATCTTTTTCACGTTGGGAAAAAAAGAGGGAAAAACTTGCACGGGAATTTTAGTGCATTCCAACAACATTGGTACTCTATTATAAATAAGGGTAGAAATTTAGGTCATGACATGACAACATGACCTGAAATCCGCACACGTTAGTGAATTTAGGTTTATTACAATGAGTTTAGGTCATAACTGGATTGATATAATTAATAAACAGGTTTAGGTCATAACCAAATTTATACAATTAATAAACTGGTTGGGTTAGGATTAACTTCTTAACATGAAGTTTCTCAAATTGACACCATTAAATGTGTCATTTGCAGCCTAATTATATATGATACGGAAATAGTAGTAAATAGTATTTTTACGAAAATAAATTAAATAAATAGTAAATTTTAAAATATTTAAAGTAAATAATGTTAAAAAAAATTTTACGATATAAATTTTTTATTTATGATTATTAAAAAAAATTTACCATGTAAAATTTTTATTTATGACTCGTAAAAGATTTTTTACCACATAAATTTTTAATTTATTGCTATATAATTTAAATTATTTTAATATATACTATTCACTTCATTATGATATAATATATAAAATAAAAGTTTAAATGATGCATTTAATAAAAAAAGAATTCTAAAAATTGTAAATATAATTTACTTGTTTTTCTTAAAATAAAAGAAAAAAATTAACAAATAAACACATTAAACGTGTTATGATTGTGTCAGATAAGTCATTATTGTAATAATTATTTATTCAATATATTAATTTAAACGAGTTGTGCGGATTGACAAGATTAATAGACAGATCGTCAATCTTGTTTGGATTGACATTTTGACACGTTTAATAAATGTGTCGTGCCCGGATTGATGTATTTTAATATGATTAGTAAGTGAGTTGACACGAGCTCAACCAATCACGAATTGTCAACTATAAATCTTTTATCTCACATCAGGACCACTCAATTTAGTAATTTAAAAATATACCAAAAAGGAGCAGAAGAAAATAACCTATTAGTGTTGATATAATCAGCTGAAAATTACCTATTAGTGTTGATATAATCAGCTGAAAATTTTGATGAACTTACCTAGATGATGATAAATTTATGAGTGTGGAGTTGAAATTTATTAATTTTTTTTAAATGCTTTAATATAGCAAAATTTTATAGTATTTATTTTTAACGATATTCATGTTTATACTGCAAAATGATGTAGTAATTATTTTAATGATATTCATTTTTGTTATTTGCAAAATATTCTAATTTTTTGCTGTATATCAATATCATTTGTTAGATTTTGCTATGTCTACAATGTCTGGATACCAAATAATGATTAATAAAATTATTATTTTTTACATTTTAATAAAAACAATTATTCTTACTTTTATCCTTATATCATTTTCTTTCCTTCTCGTCTACCAAACAACTTATAGGAAAAATTTTGCAAATCAATGCGAGAAAGCCCAAATTTATAGAAGTTTGTACAACTTTGGGCTTGATTGCTCCTTTCAATTCAGAAGAGATGAGAGAGCAAAGAGAAAAATAGGAAAAGCGTCTATTATCTTGTTTAATTTTATGTTACCTTAGTAGAGAGATCATTCTCAGAAAATTTTCCTAAAAGAGTTTGTTGAATTCCCATAAATAGGAAGAAAAAGAAAATTACCGAGTCTAATCCATGGCAGAGTATGAAAAAATAGCTTAAGATCACATCAAATCATTTCAAGTTAGAAGAATAACAGAGTTTAACATAATTTGATAAAGATAATACGCTTAATATATAACTTCAGTCTAAGAGTTAGTTGAATTTTGTCCAAAGTTGAACGAAAATATATTCAAATTTCATGTGACTGAAAAAATTGGATTGTTGGAACAGTTTCAACTTTCAAGCTGTAACACTTTTTTCATGGAGAGATGAGTACAAAAGCTTACAAATCTTGTACGTAAAAAGAGATTTTCTCTGTCAATAGATCCTGTCAGTGTAATGGAAAACTGAAAGAAGAGATATAGTGCGGGTTCATAGATTTTAACATAAATTTAAATTTTATGAGAAAAAATACTGTAATAAAAAGATTTAAACAGTAATTTGAATCTATGAAACTAATAGGGAAATAATTTTATTGGGACTTTCTCTAGTAAGACTGGCCTATAGAGTCTAACCGGTAAGCCAGTCTATCGGTAGGATCAGTTTCTAATCGTTAGATATCGTCAAAATCACATAAGATTAAAAAAAATATATAAAATTGATAGTTTTTAACATAAATCTGACCGCTGTAAAATAAAAAAGTACTAAAAGTTCATTTTTTCAGTATTACCAGAGAAATTCCATAATTTTTTGTTTTCTCACTCACTTTATGCAGAAGTTCCTCAAGCACTAGCTTTGATGATAAGGCTTCGGTTAACTCAAATGTTTTCTTGGTAAATAAAGAATTAGCATAATTATTGCCTTTGACAAACTATAGGTTATTGATGTCGTTTATGAAGCTATTGGCGAGGAACCAGTGAGATTGAGATTTTGCCTTGCTAAAAGCTTCATAATTAGAAACAAAAAATAAAAATAAAAAAGTAATAATAAAGGGTAAGCTTTAAACGTTGAACCTTTTTAAAGTTCACCCCGAAATATGGGTTTCTCAACTTGGATTGTTTCCATGCACGTTAATGGCATGCCGTTGATTTTACTAGGATTTGCACTAGCATTGAGCATGCAAATTTCTTTTTTACTAAATTAAGAAGTTCCTCTGTTATTTATTACTTTTATTAATACTACTCTCAACAAAATTTATTAATACTAACTGGCGTGCCAAATAATTAGTCATCTTCGTTCTCGCTCGTTTTCTCTCGTCTTGCTTTTAACGAAACTTCTCCTTTGCTTGCGATCTCTTGCGCTCTGTACAAAGGCATAGAATCCTTTTTGTTAGGTTTAAAAGCTCCCGTCAAAGCGAAACATCTAGTCGAATATTAATCCTGCAATTTGAGCCTAGGTCATATAGAAGAACTACAGCTAGTTGATCGATTGGTGCCATAAAAAATTATATATATATACATGATGGTTACTCTATTATTTATCCATTTATGAGTATCGTTATTTTAACAGTATAATATTGATCTGACAGTTATAATAAATTAAATTATTGACTAAACAATTATGAAAATTGTGAATGAATTAGTTTTTAATGATTACATTTTCATCGATAGTTACTATCAAATATATAAATTTGATGACATAACATAATAAGAATTCAATCGTATTACCGTTTTTTGGTCAATTATCTAATTTATTACGATTCTATGATCAATATCATACTGTTAACACAATAATATCTACCGATAGGTAAATATTAAATTAAACATAAAACCACACTCATATATATATATATATAAGAATTTTTAATTGTTACGTTTTCATCAATAATATAAAAGTCATTTTTGTACTTTTAAACTTTTAATTTATGCTCAAT